CCCGCCGCCCGGGTCCTCCGCGGCTTTGCTCCGCGTCTCCCTGGTCTCCCTGGGACGGGAGTGCCCAGATGCGCCGCGGTCCCGCCCCAGCAGACCAGGGAGATGCGGAGCAGCTTTTCTCGCCCCGGAGGACGAGGGCGGCAGGATCTCGGCACGTTTGGGCGGTCCCGCCGGCCGCATCCTCTGGGGCAAGAAAAGCCCCGTTCGTAAGTGCGGATCTGACATAAGTCGGATCCGCGTAACTCGGGGACTGCCTGTACTGCAGAAATATAATAAAGAGCAGAACATTTTTTTGTCAAAATTTTCTTGCTAAATTCTAGAAAAACACAAAAGCGGAGGAACACAGATGTATCTGAATAGTGTGTTAAGCCTGTGTAATTTATTCAAATGATGTCGTGGGTTGTTCTGGGGGAAGTGAAGGAATAAATCTGAACTGAATTTGTATTTTAAGCCTGATACAATTTAAAACGGCTAAAATCTGTAGTACTCCTTCAAAATCCAGCATTTAGGGTAGAAGAATGAATTCAGTCTACTCTATACTGACTTTTTAATCCCAACAATTGCAACTTAAATTTGGATAAAACAAGATTAACTATTTTTTGTTCAAGTTAGCTATGGGTTGTAAAACAATGAATATGTGTTCTGCATGTTGGAAGATTACAAATGCCTTTGAATTTCTCTCTATATATAAAATAGTTGGAAATGTCCTAGAACAGTCTGTTAGAGGTAGCAGTTGTTTGGCTCTTGAAAGTATAAAATGCATAACTTAAAGTTCTATTTGTCTTCTTTTGTTTCAGGTTTATGCTGCTGACTGTTGTGACAGTGTTCTTCTAGAGCTGCGAAAATACTTACCAAAATATTTTGGCAACTGGTCACCACCCACTGCGCCTAATGGTATTGTTTTAATTTTTTGCTAGTTTCCCAAACTTGATAAATTTTCTGGGGAGTTAGTTCAGCAATACCGTCCTTTGTGACTTCTCTGTGGCATAATCCTATTCCCTATAATATTGAACCTGACAGTTATTTAAATAGGTACTCTATTTAAGAAGAAATGTCAACGTAGGAAAATATTTTGTCCTATAGATAATCCTGAGTATCTGATTGAGACCAAGATCTGACACTTACAAAAACTTTATTTGTATAACGCTATAAATATGGTGCAATTTTTTCTCTGATCTTTCTGGTGGGTATCTGTGAACAAAGATGCAAATTTCTGTTTTATATTTAAGAAATGAACTTGTGTTCCCCCCCCCCCCCCTTTCTATTTTATCCATATGGGAAGGTAGACCCTCTGGAACAGGACACTGTAAAGCCTATGTAAATCTTTACCAGTTGCACTCTTTTTGTATAACTCTGTTAGATGTTGCTTATGCTCCCTTAGGATAACTTGTTTTCCACTTAAAAGTATAAATTATTCTATATAGAGAAATTCTACTATAATTCCTTTAATGCCTGGTACTGTTTTGATTCACATTAATGACTTCTTGTTTTTGTTTGACAGTATCGCAGAGAGCTTTATTATAGTACCTATACTTTTTAGCCTTCATTTTTTGGTATGGAGTCAGTTCCTTTAGGACTGTCTAGAGTCCTTCTGCTGCAGCACATGGCTTATCTCCTCAGTCATGGATTCCCCTGTTCCCCTTCTTCAGCATGCCAGGCTCTTTTTTCTCTCCTGTTAAAGTGTTCCTGTGAGTCCCTCATGTTTATATGTTTTGCTGTCAAATACCTGGTTCTCTTATCTTGCTACCAATAACTTTCCACTTTCCAAACACCTGCTCCTTTGTTGAGGGGTTGGAGAATGCTGGTTCTCATAGGCAGGAGCTAGCCCATTGTTTCCACTTGAATGGCTGACTGTAAAGGTTTAACAACTGCTCTGTCTGAGATATGACACAGCCCCTGGAATCCCCATACACAGAGAGATTCAAAAAAATCAAATTATTCTTATGACAATTTCTGTAATGTCAACCAGAATTTATAAACTGTACATAGAGAGTGCCAAAATCGTCACTCCTTCTAGAAATGTTCTTTTGGAAAGGGAGTGGGAATAGGAGAGAAGATTGATCTAGTCCAGGGGTTCTCAAACTGGGGGGTTGCCAAGGCTGGTGTTGGCAGGACTCCCTCACCCAGGGCAAAAGTCCTTGGGCTTTAACGTTAGCCTGCCCCTTGGGCAATGGGGCACGGGCAGTCTCCACTTTCAAGCCCTCTTCCTAGGGTTATGTAGTGATTTGTTGTCAGAATGGGATCAAGAAAGTTTGAGAACCACCTGATCTCTACACTCTGCTGAGAATGGTAAATGAGAGTGGGAAAGAACAGTACTATTCAGAGTTGAGATTTTTTGAACAGATCTGGGAGGGACAAACAAATGTTGTTATGAAGGCCAGGAATTAAGCAAGAACAGGTGATAACCAAGATAGGACAGGATGATTTAATTCACTGGTAAAGGGTGGAAATGAGAAGTCTAAGGCTTTTTCTAGCCTCCCGAGTATGCTATTGTACCCCTTATTCTTTATAGAAATATGCCTATGAATAGGAATGAGATCTCAAATATGCTTAATGAAAAACACCTCATACCATATTATTTAAAAAAAGTAATCTGCTGAATATCGATGATGAAATTATCTGAATATTCTGTGTATATGTATGTATCATTCTTCCTTTTCCAGTTACAAATATGAAGTATAAACCTGTTCACTAATCTAGACATGCTAAGCAAGGACCATTAGTAATACTCAAGGAACTTAATGGCCTGGTACTCAGGACAATGATCTCTGAATAGTCCTTGCTTTTTCTGTAAACCTGGACTATTTTTGGTCCTGTCAAGACATATGGTCTGGTAACTTGATGCTCGAGCCCATTTTTAGATGCTGTACTTTCCCATGAGAAGTGTGAAAGTTTAAACGGAACAGAAAGGGTTCCCACATTGGGCAACAGTTAGGTACTTGCAGTAATGAGACAATGGGGAGGTGGTGGCCACAATTCAAGACACCCCTGTTTTGCCATCTAAGATGTCTGCTGCAGCTACCTGGAACTGAACTTTAAGAAGGATCAGACCCTATCAAAGATTATTAGTACTACCATTAGGGTAAGAGATTGCATGTAACAAGTTTTATAGTGCTAAGCTTTTATTATTTATTTTGCTAAGTAACTTATTTGATCTGTCTGCTATCACTTATAACTACTTACATTTTACTTATTTAATAAAATCACTTTTGTTTATTATTAAAATCAGTGTCAATAATTGTTACCTGGGGGGTGGGAGGAAACCTCTGTCCCTTTTGCTGACAAAACACTGAGGGTGTACATGATACAATGCAACTTTTGTCTGGAAAAATGCCTGGTTTTGGCAATAAAATACTTCCACCCTGAGGAGAGGCTTGACTTTTCCCTATACAGGCAGTCCCTGGGTTACATGCATCTGACTTACATCGGATCTCTACTTACAAACGGGGTGAGGCAACCCCGCACTAGCTGCTTCCCCCCAGCAGACCAGGGAGACGCAGAGCGGCTTTTCTCAGCAGACACCTCAGCTTGAGAATAAAGGACTGAGGGAAGTGAGGTGTGGGAGAATAAAACTGAGCTCTGGAGAAATGTTTGGCTAGAGTTTCCCCTACAATATGTACCAGTTCCGACTTACATACAGATTCAACTTAAGAACAAACCTACAGTCCCTATCTTGTACGTAACCCGGGGACTGCCTGTATGTATATATTGGAAAGAAGCAAGTATCTACACTTGCTTTGATCACTTTGACCTCCACATTGTCCCATCCTAACCTTTTGATCATCAGTTTGAACTCCTCTGTCCTGCAACCAGGTGTACCAACCATCTGCCCTGCACCTTGGTAAGCCCTGGGAATTTTTGAAATTCCATTTCCTGATGAGTTGGCATGGAGATGTCTCATTGCACCTTTCCAGGTGACAGTGGCAGACTATTACACCAAATGCTCTCCTGCTTGGACCACTGCAGAGCTGTTAGAGCTGATCAGTATATGGGGAGAGGAGCTGTGCAGTTTCAGCTGTGCTTGACCATAGGAATTGGGATATCTGTGGGCAGATTTCTCAAGGCTGGTGTGAAAATGGCTATGATCGGGACATGTGACAATGCAGAGTAAAAATAAAGGAGCTGAGGCATGTGCACCATAGGGTGAGAGGCAAACCATTGCTCTGGTGTTTTGCCTAAGACCTGCCGTTTCTGTAAGGAGATAGACGCTATCCTTGGTGATGAGTGCCTGTCCACCACCAAGAGCCCATGGATACTTTGGAGGACACAGAGGCAACAGAAAGCAGACCTACCAAAATTATTGAAGAGGAGGTGGAATTAGACAAGGATGTGCAGATTCTGGTACAGTCACCTAATAGGGCTGGCTGCCAGGAACTGTTCTCCACTCCTGAGGTGCCTAGCCAGACTCAGCAGTTGCTCTCTGGGAGCAGGAACCAGGAAATGAGACACATGGTAAGTGGCTGTGGTTTGTGTATTGTGAAAGTGGGTATAGGGCAGTGGTTCTCAAACTGTGGTCCGCGGACAACTAGTGGTCGGTGGCTGCCTTCTAGGTGATCTGTGGCTCAAGTTCAGCTCCCCCCTTTCAAACTCCCTCTCTCCGTAGCAGGGAGCCTGCGCTGGTGCTCCAGCCTTGCACACCTGGCTGTGAGGTTGAAGCGCCAGTGCTGGCATCCTTTGGAGGTTGGGGAGGAACCCCGAGCCTCCCCGCTGGATCTGCCTTCTGGGGAAGAAGCAGAGCTAGAAGTGGCCTTGCTGCCACTCCCCCTACCCTGGCTGGGGAAACAGCAGCACACTGACATGCTCCCTGGAAGCTTTCCCCGCTGCTCCCATTGGCTGGAGTCTGGCCAATGAGAGCAGGAGACAATGCCTGGGAGTGGCATGGGGTGCAAAAGTAAGTGACCTTCCGTCCCTCATACTCACACTCCTACTGTGCTCCTGCACCACCCTCCACCAAGACCCCACACCCCCAGCCCATTCCTGTACTCTTCCCCTGGCTAGCCTGCTCCTGAAGAGGGATATAAGCCACTAGTTGACTATCTGCTAGGCATAAACACATTGCATAGTTGAGTCCCCCCCCCGCTGCCTCCATCAGAGAGAGGCAACAAGCGGGATGGAGCAGGAGCCAGTTCTGGGGGGAGCTGACTTAAAAGCCAGTGCCCCCCCAGCAGCGTCTCAGCTGGGGGGCCACAGGTGACTCTTGTACATTTCAAAGGGAGAGGTGCAGCAGGAAAGTGAGCAACCCCCTCCCCCCAATCAACTAGTTGATTAATCAAAATTTAACATCCCTACTCCTGAACCCACTCTTGTTCTTTCCCCCTCCCCCTTGGCCAGCCTCCCTAATTCCAGCCTGCTTCTGCACCCACCTCCTGCCAAGTCCTTGCTCCCTCACCCTGTCGTGCACTCACTTCATCCCACTTGCCAGCAGCCCTGTCCTGCACACTGAACCCCTCATTTTTGTCCCCACTCAAGAGACTGTAGGGGAAGGGTCCACAAAATTCTACTAATCCCGGAACCCCAGAAGAGTATAGCTCATAGGAAGCCCTGAACCTCAGTCCTCCCTGTCCCTCCCCTTCACCCAATGGGGCTGGAGTGCCAGAGGAGTGAGGTGTCTCAGTTGGGGGGGGAGGGGGGAGGTCATATCAGTGAGGATTGAGGGTTTTTTGGTGTGTGTGTGTGTGTGTGTGTGTGTGTGTGTTTTTTATTTTTATTTTTTTATTCTCACTTGTGTGGTTTCCAACTGATTTTTTTTCTGTGGGTTAGTTGCCCCGATCAAAAAAGGTTCCTCACTCCTGCCATAATAAAGAAAACATTGAAACCTTTTGTGCTGGACATAAATGTGTTAATTTATCAAACTTCATTTTAAATAATGTAACACGAGAAAGTTAGAGTGCGTA